ACATTGCCCAATGAGCAAACTCAGAGAGAGCCAGGACCAGTCAGAGGAAAGGCAAGGGACTAGAAGTTACCATTTGACTGCATAGTGATGATGATATGCTTGGCAATGGGCTGACTACTTTTTATACATTATCCCAACCTCTTCTTCCCAAACCTCCTTGGAACTCTGTATATATATATAATAAACAAAAACCTGTTTTACAAATGAGAGAATATAATCAAGATCACTCAGCTAACTGCTGGCAGTGCTAGGAGCCCAATCAGTCTACTTGGCCCCATTCTTGGGTCTCACTATGCTGAGCTGCGGAGACAGGGAAGCCTCCAGTGTGGGAAGAGGCACTGACCTACCTGCTGCTCCATTCTCCCCGTGAGAGGCTGCAAAAAGAAGACCCCAAGAGTCTCCAGGACACACAACCCAACCCCTGCCCCAGGACAAACCTGGGATGACCCATGGTGTCCTCCATGGATCTCCCCATTGTCCTAAGTTCATCTCTCCTTGTGGAGTGTGTCAGTGTTGAGGCACTAACATTTGATAGCTGTCATCATCTCTCGTTCCATCCTTCCTCTCCAGTCCCCCCAAACAGTGTAAGAGAACTCAGAACTCAGAGGGTTAACTGGACTAAGGGGTGTTATCTCCAGCACAGGGCATTCCCTCTGCAAGGTGATCCTGCTCAGATCTTAAGTTACCCCCTGTCCCAGAGAGAACATCTGCTGGCTGCTCTGCAGAAACGGTCTTTGTGGACAAGGTGGATATCGTGGGCAAAACATTGTCCAGCTGGGATGGGACAGGAGGGTTCTGGGATCCCAGGACTGTCCTCTTCCCCACTCCTTATGCCTAACTTCCACTTTGTTTTCCAACAAGGCTACTCTGACTTTTCTGCTGAGCAAACCTGTGGTGCCTCCAGGCACGTTTACGCTGCTGACTTGGAGACACACAGGGAGGGCTTTGCAGGGCTGCATGTGGAGGGCCAATGCCCTCACCTCCCGCCTCCTCTCAATGTCCACAGTGTGCTCCCTTGCCATTCCCAGGATTCTTCCCCTCGACCAGGAGCCTATGCAAGAAGCCAAGATGCCAGATTAGCAGCTGAAAACCTCTCTTAGCCCTATGCAGCCATTCAAAGGTCAACACTAGTTCCAGAACTATTCTGGAAAGACAAGAGAAGGCTGACAACAGAGCTCGCCAGGTGTTATCAAGGTCTCAGGCATTCCCCTGAGAAAATGCAGAGACCTAACTAAAGTCAAGGGCAGATGAGAAAACAGAAAAAGTATCTTGGGGGCACCCCATTTCTCAAAGGGGCCAGGCCCAGCAGCTTGTCTTAGAAGGAGCCAGTTCAGAGCAAATGCTCCAAAATTTGCCCTCCCAGATACTGCGTCCTAAACACAGCCATGGTCAAGGCTCGGCAAGTCTTAGTCAGAACATCACCAGAAATCAGTTACGTGTAACCTGCACTTGCTATTAGATATTTATGACTACAGCCTGTGGTGACTTGAAAATAGCTGTGCACACAGGGCTGAATAATGCCAGTCTTCCCAGATCTGCACATGCTCGATGGTTTGCAGATGGCCACCACAAATACATAGGTCCCTACACACATGTCCACATGCGTCCACACCAGACTAAAGGTAGGATGACACATACATGCACAGTGCCAGAAATGCACCCTGTGTTGCACGCTGGCCTAAGTGTCCATTCCATTCTGGCATGCTGGCTAATGGTCACAGTTTTAAAAGCTCAGCCAAAATAGGCAAATATGTGGCACCTTTCCATCTTCCCCCTTCCCCTAGGCAGGAGGCATTCAATTTACCAGGTTAACCAAGAAAGATACAATCAGAAAAAGCAAAGACACATACATGCCTCCCTTGGGTGTTTTCTGTTTGCGCTGAACAATGAACATTAGTCAGCTGCTAAACAATGGCGTAGCACAGACACAGCACCTGGACCCGACCCACTGCCCAGGCTGGCTTACTGGCTCAGCCATCAGCACTCAGGTTCTGGCTGCCGTGACCATGCTGAGGCACACAACTGGGGCTGGTAGGGGCGGGCAGGGGTGGGGTGCTCACCATGCAAACGTGAGTGGCCAGCAAGGGAAACGCACACCTTGAGTCTCAGCCAACCTTAGGCACCCAGGCATCCTTGTCCTGTACTCTCAGGAGCCCAGGTTTAAGAAGCACCTTCCTGACCCCCCTGCCGCGGTGACTGGGCCCAAGCTGGAGGTCTCTTGGTCTCTTTCCAAAGCGAGGAGGCCCTGAAGAAGCCTTTTCCTGAGACCCTGGCTGCAGCATTGTCTCACACACAGATTCCCATTCACACCTCCCCTGCAAATTCCAGGCCAGTACAATAGGTTTTGCCAGAATGCCCTGCCCTGCCCAGCAAGCCTGAGCATACCACGGTCTGCAGGAGAGGAAAATAACCCATCAGGCTCGACACTGGGAGTTTCAAAGAAAACCATCTGGGCAGCGAGTACTGCACAGGCTGCAGCCGGGTGTGCTATGGCTGGACAGGTCTTCCTAGCTGTGCACGACACCTGCTTCTTGGGGCAGGTTCTCTGTCTCCTCCTGGGCGCTCCCTGTATCCCTTTTTGGGGTGCTGTCCACATGCCCACTGACCCTCTCCTGGAAAGTAACCGCTTGTCATTCTGTGGAAGCAGGCTCCAGGGCTTCCCTCTGCCTGGTGAAGTCTGTGTTGTAAACACACTTCTGTGTTTATGCTTCAATAGCCAGACCGGGAATATTTCAGAGGCAAAGGCCAGCACACACGCACACTGGCCCCCAGCTCTCCTGACTGCGCTCCCTGCCACAGTCCCTGGAGAAACCGGAAAAGAACATCAGATCCAGAAAACCTCGGACAGAAACAGGAGTGGACAATTGAGAGGAAGTCGGGGTACAAAATCAGGGGGTAGGCTGGCAATTTCTGGACAAATCCATATCCACCTGCCTCCCTTCGCAGTAACCCCTAGACTAAGCACCAGGAGCGCAGGGACTGGGTGGAGGAGTCTGGCCAGTACGGGAACTGTGCCTGCTGTTGATGTGACCCATCCATCAATTACAATCAATGGAAGAGCACTTATTAAGTGCCTGGCTCAGTTGTGGTTCTCTTCTCTGACTTCCCCCGGCTGTGTGGATTTCTGGTGTTGGTGGGGGCAGGTATCCACCTGGAGCCTGGTGTGTGTCACCTACTCCTCTCCACTTCCCTTTCATTCAGGCAGATGGTGGCAGCAGGCAGGCTCCCCACCAGGGAACTAACCACCTCACAAAGCAGGAAGAAGAGCCTGAAAGGAGGAGGTGGGGGGTGAGCTCATCCCCCTCCCCCAAACCTTCCCACCCTTTGTCCACCGGGGATTCGATTAACCCCTAATGTGCCAGACCAACCAGAGTTACTGCGGAGAAGCCCTTTCTCTGGGTTCTGAATGTGGACACAGAGAACTGAAGTCTCAGAAGCCCAAACCCTGTTGGTCAGGCAGGTCCTTGGCCCTAGCTTCTGCATCTCTGCCTGGCTTCCCAGGAGGTCCACTGTGCTCGAGAAACCTCTCCCTCTCACCGAGATTCCCTCTGGGAATGATGGGCAGTGAGCAAGGACAGCAGTGAGGCCGGGGATCTCGCCCTCCCTCCTCGCCCCAAGACAGCAGGCCAGTACCTGCTGCTGCGTTGGATACCAGCAAGGAGCTGGGGTTAGAAAGGGCACAGAAGTGTCCCCAGACCCAGGTTATTTATCATTTTGCAGGAGAGCCCCCCAAGCCCTCAAAAGGACAGCCAGCCTGGCTCATCACTCCCCAAATGCCTGGTAGAGGCCTTGCAGGCACTGGCCACCAGGTATTCCTGCCCAGAGGAGCTGGTGGCTGAACTCTCACCCTGGATTTTGTAATCCCAAAACAGGTGCCACGTGTTCCAGTCAAGCTCCCCCCCACCACCCCCAAAACAAAATAATAAAACAAACAAAAAAAACCCATTCCTCTAACTAGGACAGAAGGTCCACTTGGTTTTCTGCCCTAAGGAGTAGAGGCAACCTTCCCTTCAGGGTCACCAGTCACCACGGGACCACAGCTTCCCCAGGGACACAAAGGGTTAAACCCATGGGGTGAGGACTGGGTAGGATTTGCCTCCTAAACGCATTTTCCAGTTCATTCCCCAGCACTAAGTGCCTGGACCGGTCTCTGCTCCGCCCGCCCACCCCACCCGTCCAAAAGGGCCACCGCAGGCCACCCCAGGGTCGGGGCGTGAGGTTAACTCCTCATCTACCGGCGGCCCGCAACGTGAAGAAGGGCACGAGGGGCACCCTGGGGAAAGTGGGTCAGGCGGACACCTGGCTGGCGGCATGACACCGAGCCGCCTCACCGGGAAGAGCCCCCGGAACCCAGAGCGGAATTCCACGGGAAAGCCCAGTCCCGAGCAAGACTCGGCTGCCCGGGCCTCCCGCTCCAGGAGAGGGAACCTCAGGTGAGCCCGAAGCCTCGTATGCCGCAGGAGTCAGCTCTGGGCGCCCGCGCTGGCGACGCGCGGCGGGAAGAGCCCGAGAGCGCCCAGAGGGGCCAGCCAAAGAACCGAAGCCCCTGCCCTCCTGTAACCACACAGACCACCCCCACTCCCGGCGCCCCTCAGCTCTGAGACCGGCGCCTCGTCGCCTGGGCTGCGTCTCCGACCGGGCACCGTGATTACGGTGCTTATTTTGCATTTGTGTAACATGCGATGTTTCCAAACTGCCTCCCGCGCTGAGAACTGGTTATTAAATAAATAGAACGCGATTACATATTATTATTTTGGTAAAGAACTGTGCGGAGAAAGTGCTTTCTCGCTGCAAGGAGACGTGTGCCCGACCGATCCCCAGGGGGTGCAGGATGTGGGGAGCTCCTCGGCCCCTTTGCCCCGCATCGGGTCACCTCCCACCCCCGCAGCCAACTTTCCCGGCTCCTCGAGCTCCCTACATCCCTGTCCTGCCAGCCATCCGTTCCCTGCGCCGCAGAGACGCTCGGTGGAACTGGGGGTGACGGTGGCGGGTGCGCTTACCTGGGAGGAAGAAGGCAGCCAAGCCGAGAGCGAGTCCCCACCAGCGTCCAGCGGCGCCCGCAAGCCCCATCCGAGCCATCGGGGGCCGAGGGTCCGGCGGGGAGAGCGCCCCTCGCGCTCCAGAAAGCAGCCCGGAAGACGAAGGCGGGTGGTCGGCGGCCGGCGGGCGCTCCGCGGATCCAGGTCAGCAAGCCGCCGTCGGCCGGGGCGGGTTGGGCTGGGTGCGATCGGCGCGGCCGCGATCCGGGCCCCGGGCCGCCGCCGGCTCAGAGGCTCGGCAGATGCCCGCCGCAAGTTGCACGAGTCATGCCCCCTTCTCCTCCTCCGCTCTCCGCCCCGCGTCGGTCCCCGCCCTCTTTCTCCAAGCTGAACCGGGCTGGAGTGAGGGACCCACCCCCGGCGCGCCCGGCTGAGGGCTGCGCCGCGCCGGCTCCCGGCCCCCGGCGCGCTCACAGCCTCCCGCGCGGCTCCCGCTCGCAGGCGTCCATGGCCGGCCGGCTTGGCTGGCCGTCGTTCGAGGGTGGCGGGACGAGCCCGGGCTGCGCGCGCAGGGCTGGGGCCCAGGCGGCGGGGCGCGCGGCAGTGCGGCCACAGCGGCCCCGGGAGGCTTGGGGGGCCGGTCCGGGCGCCAAGAGGGTGAGCCGGGGGTGAGGGGGGTGCGACAGAAGCGCGCGTGCCCCACTGCCTGCGCTGCTGCCGGGCGCCGGCGACCCGCGATGCTGTGGAGCTGCCCTGGCGCCGAGTCGAGCCGCGCTCGCCGCTCTCGCTCTTTCTCTCACTCGCCGATCCCCAGCTCCTCAGCCGCTCGCCCGTGATGTCAGCCTGAGGGGGAGGGGTTAGCGTTAACCCCCTCGTGGCTCCGAGGCGCGCCCGTCCAGCCCGGCCTGCGCCCGGCGGCGCGCGCTCCTCCCGGCCCTGGGCACCGACGCCGCGCGCGCGGGGCGAGGGCCTCGCGGGGTCCCGCTCGGGCCCCCTCACCCGGGAGGTGCTCCCCCGGTCGCCTTCGAGGTGCGGGGAGAGGGCCGGAGGGCGGGCGGCGCTGCTCGGCCGCTGACGAAGGGAGGCAGTGACCCCTAGCGGCCAGCCTCGGGGTCCGGGGTGCTGCTGGGGGTGGAGTTAAGATGGGGAGGACTCGGGGTGGTCGCCGTGTGGCGGCCGGGAGAATTCCCGGAGCTGGTGGTGTCCGAGCTGAGGGGGTTCCCACAAGCCCTCACCGCACCGATGTGGAAAGTCAAGACCGGTCGCCAGGCCACGGCTGAGCTGGAACCCACGAACCTGGGGCGCCCTTTCTCACTTAAGAGGCAGCCGGGTACGAGGCCCACCGGGAAAAGGTGTTGGGCTGTCTCGGGTGGGAGTGGGGCTCCCGATTTTCCTTCCTAATCCCTCTTCCTTTCCAAAGCGTAGAGCAACCCCTCTCCCTTCTTCAGACGAGGGACCGAGGCCGGTGCCAGCGACACCTTCGCTTTAGGATTGAGTGGCGGGAGCGCCAGTGTGTCCAGTGTCCCCTGGCAGGGCAGGGACCCCACCACGCTCCCCACCCACCACGTCCTTGTGGCAGCCTAGAGGCTGTCCTCTCCAGCTTCCCTTGGGCCTGCTGTCCCCACCCTCTGGCTCTGGGCTAGGCTGACACACAGGATTTGCCCCTAAAGAGAGCAAGCCTGTGTCCCCGCCCCCAGCAGGCCTGACCAGAGGATGCGCCCTTTGCCCCGAGGCCAACCCTTGCTGGGGCAGTGGGACAGCAGGCCTGTTTCTGATGAAATGTGAATTCTACATCCCAAAAGTTAGGAGAGCTGGAGGAGGAAGAAGGGCAGGGACAGTTGTAACAGTGCTAAGAAGTGTCTTGATTTCTCGCTGAAGTAGTCAAATTCTGCACTTGGGTGAACACATGCGAGCTCACTGTAGTGTTTCACCTTTCACAAACGTAACTTGTGTTTGCTTTGCACCAAAGCTTGCTCTGCTAGGCTGTGGAAGAAAGTCATCGTTGTTGCCAGAAAGATATTTAGTGTGGCCAAGGAAAACAGGGAGCTCAACACAGAAGCTGGAATGTGGATTTGATGGGTCATGCGGCCAGGCTGGGGCTTGAGTGAGCATGGTCCATCAGACAGGGAGAGGTGGTCAGGTGACTGGACCTCAGGGAGGGTGTCCACGTGAGGCCAGGCGTGAAACTGGTGTATGGTGTCACGGCTGGTTGGTGGTGGTATCCGTATGAGCCTTGAACATAGAGAGAGACCTGTAGCTCTGTGGGTCAAACCAGGTAGCCACCAGGAGGACCTGGAGAATGTCCTCTTGAACTCAGTGGCCAGGAATCTCCATAAGTGCTTTAAGGGCCAGGGTGAACTGGGTTCATGGCTGCGGTCTTTCACTGTGCCTGACATATCACAGGAGCTAGGTGGATGGGTTGGAGGGGTAATCCCAGGTCCACTCTCACCCCTGTCCTGGGTGATGTTTCCATAATAAACTACTCTGGAAGGGGCTTTGGGGGTGGATGTGTCTGGGATCCAGCTGCCTGCAGTTGTGGAGGGCAGTGAAGATGGACCCAGTTCCCACCAGCCAACACATTCCTGGGTTCAGCATCTGTGGATTCAACCAACCTTGCATTGAATGTGTCTCACCACAGATTTCATTTTCTTCTTGTGATTCTCTAAAAATCACAGCATAACAGCTATTTATGTAGCATTTACATCACATGAAGTGTTTTAAGTCATTAGGTCATTTAAACTCAATGTGCCTCTCCACTTGTGGTGGAGTTGTCCTGATAGATCCATGATAAAGTGAAAGTTTGTATGTACCCTAAGCCAAACTATTGTAGTCTGGGGATGTATTCAAGTGTAGGGGATGTGAATGGGTTCTATGCAAATGTTATGCCATCTCATAGAATGAACTTGAGCAGTCATTGGATTTTTATCTGCAGGGAATTCTGGAATCAATCCCCCACAGATCCTGCAAGAGAACCATGAATGAGATGAATGTTTGTTCAGTCATAGTCTTTAGACAAGCAGAGGGGGCTGCTGGGAGAGATGACTGAAGGCCTGCAGGATGGAAGGGATAACTTCTAGTGAAGTGAACAACTTGTTTAAAGACTCAGAGGTGCATGGATGTGATAGATTTCTCCTATGTGGGAACAGCAGGCAGTCCTGCTCGACTTACATAGAAAGATACAGCTGATTGCTAAAGGTTCTGGAGATGTATCAGGAGAGTAGTCTCTGATTTCTGCTCTTAAACTAGAAGCCCAGGAATCATTCTTGCTTCCTCCTCCTTCAGCTACCAAGTTCCAATTCAAAGAGCAAACTGTTGATTCTGCCACTACAATGTATCTGAAGTCTAACCTGTTGGCTTCATTTCTGCTATTACCACTCTGGTTCAGGCATTTGTTCTTACAATTCCCTTCAGCAGTGTAACCAATGAGCACTGAGGCGAAGGAGTAAAACATAATGGTCACACATATAGGATGCCTGGAGCTAAACTGGATTCATTCTTAAACTCCAGCTGTTCCACTCTGTAACCGTGTGTCCCCTTGTCATAGGTAAGCAACGCTGAATGTATACAGATAGAGTATAGTCATAAAGATGACTGACAGTTAAACAATTTTTCCTGTACACGAGGCATTGCTCCAAGTACGTAACATGTCTAACTGCGGTAATCCCCACAACTCCATGAAACAAGTGCTCTTACTTCCCCTTACTTTAGAGATGAGGCACATGAACATGGGGAAAGAAAGACACTTCACTTAAGGAACACACAGCTACCAAGTGGAAGAACTGAATCCAGGCAGTCAAGCTCCAGGCATCCCATGTGTTTGACTGTTGTGTTTCACTCCCTCCCCTTCGTATTCACTGGTTATATTGCCAAATGGAATTTGTAAGGTCCAGGTTACCACATTGCATTTAAGAGTAAATGATTTTCTACTGCAAGTGGTTGAGTTCCAGTATCTGAGAGCCCTTCTTTGGCCTGTAGACCCTGAGGCCAGTGTCAAGTCCTCAACAGGAGAATTAGACTTTTGCTTCTGCTATAGTCTCATCTCATCTTGCTCCAGGGCTTTGAGAAGGATCCAGTGTATGCTTAAGATCATTGGCTTGAGGTCCTAGCCACTTAACTTATCTCTCTGCCTTGTCTGCTCCATTGCCTTTCTCTTCTTTTTGGGCAGTTACTTATGCTTAGAGCACAGCTTTTGATGTCATTTCTTCATGGCACTCCACAAGGCCCTCAGACTAGCTGGGTGCCCTCCTGGATCCTATGACAATTCCCCTTGATTCACTCCCCTTGGGTAGGGACCATGCAGGTCTTTTTCCTTGCCATAGCCCTAGTACCTAGAACATACTTAGTACCTTCTAGTCACGTCCTGAAAATGTGTTGATTGCCTAATTTATGCCTGATAACTTATGCCTCTTTCTACCTACCACTTCTCCTACTTGGCCTCAGTTTTCTCAACTGCAAACTGAGGAATTGTTTGTTGGGGTTCACACTGTCCTTTGGAAGACCTTCCTGAGCTCCCACTCCCTATTTCGGCAGGAGCCATATTGAGAGAGCATTTTTTTCCCACATACCCTAAATACTGGCTTCTGAGAAAGAATCTGCCCAGTGAATTTTGAAAATTTTTCCTCTTAAAATGTTTGAAACATCCTGATGTTGCTTGCATTATATGTTAATTACTATATATATGAGGATATGCCAAGAAGATTATGGAATTAAAAGATAAGTTTCTCAGGGGTTGGCATTTGGTGCAATGATTAAATTGCCACTTGACACACCCATATCCCATGTTAGAGTGCCTGATTTGAGTCCCAGCCCCCTCCACTTCCAATCCACCTTTCTGTAATGTGCATCCTGAGGGACAGCAGGTGATGGTTCAATGCTTGGGTCTCTGTTATTCAGATGGGAGACTGAAATGGAGTTCTGGGTTCCTGGTTGTGGTCTGACCCAGCCCTGCCTGAATGTGGCAGGCTTTTGAGAGGGTGAGCCAATGGATTGGAACATCTCTCTCTCTCTCTTTCTCTCTGCTGTTCTCTTTTTCCTTTCAAGTAAAATGAAAACTAAAAATGAGGTAAAGGTAAGTTTCTTCTGATACATGACGTTCCTCATAGTCACATGATTTTTTTTTTCTTGCTTGCAGTTGTGAACTGTTGAAGGTTTGAGAGCTGGGAAGTGCTGATTAGGAGCTGTGGGAGCTGTGCATTCTGGAGAGGAATCTGGCAACCATGAGGGTAGGATGGACAAATGAAGCTGGGTCAGTGACCGAGGAGGGGAGTGGGCAGGGAGGGTTGTCATGGGAGCAAAGCAAGGCGGGAGTTTAATGGCAGTGCTGGTGGAGGCGGAGGTTG